GCAACACGATTACGTCACTCTGTGGTCGACTTTCAATGTGAAGTCCATTGGTATAGAACAACCAACACGCATTGTTATACACTCCTTTGGCCCAAACAGTGAAACACAAGAGGGGAGAAAAGAAAAATCAACACTAATTCCGGCACACATCATTGCTTTGTTGTATTCACTAATCAACCCCGGCGCGTGCACCTTGTTTTGAAACAATGCCTGATACCGGGTACTTATCTAGACCCTTTCGACTCGCAGCTGCCCCAGGCCCACAATGAGCGCAGGTGGTTCCTACTCAAGGGCCGTAGGCAACTACAGCCACGACTGTCCCGGTATTTGCTCTCGTCGCACACCAGTTTTCGCGCCAAATTCAACAAAGAATTATTTCCAGAGTGTGATCAGAGACAAATTGAATAATGAGCGTCGATTAGGGAACTTAGAAAACAAGTCCATTATTTCTATATTTACATTCAACACGACATCTGAAATCGCTGATAGGACTATTGGGCTGTTAACTTTTCTCAGATTCCGTTTCATCGATCATACTCTACTCTAAAAGTTAAACTTAATTGAATAGGAAGTATTAAATAAGAATTACTGTATTATTATTATTATTATTATTATTATTATTATTATTATTATTATTATTATTATTATTATTATTATTATTATTATTATATTCTACGTTTTTTACCTCTGTAGTTTAATTTAATTTTCGAAACGGTACCAATGCGCCACTGTCTGCTGCAGCTCCGCACGATCAAGGTCTACTACGGGTATTATACATTAATAAAAAAAAAACTATTTATTTGCATGGCGTAGCCCCTAAATGCAAACTTAATCATTCATCTTAGGAAATTTAAATATACAAATATAGCCAATTATAAATACATACTTAATGATATAGGAATACAGATATTACCATCAATATCTTTTTATAGGCATAATTATGATTACATCCGTTTTGCTTAAACATTATAATAGGCCTCTATGAATAGAATTTTGGCACAAAGAAGATTGTCTAAATCAAGAGTGGATTAGACCTAGTTACTCATTTATTCTGGTAAACGGATGGGTAAAAAGGTGGATTTAAATGACTCATGATTGCTGTAGTTTTGAAGACTGGATATTTGTATGAGGATCAGTTTGTGTGGAAACCACAAAAACATAAAAAAAACTTCTTTTATGTATGTTAATGGTGTGCGACCGGCGCGCGACCGGTTGCTGTTATCGGCTACTGTATACTTAAGCTCTGTCCACACTGCCAAATTGTATGTGACAAATTAATAAGATGTACCCATATATGGGCATGATGATGTCACATTATACCTAATATGGGCATATCAAAGTTTTGTTGTCACACAAATTTTGAGAAC